ATTTCTTGCTTTTGAAATTTGGCAAAACTCTAGGGAGCTCAAGGGAAGCTGGGCTAGGAGAGAGCAGAGGTAAGGTCTCTGCTGTGTCTGAAGAGCAGAGGAGCAGAGTCTCCTGGCTTTTGTCCCAGCAGAGCTAAGCTCGTTAAAATGTCGACTCCTGCTAAGTATGGTGGCTCTCTTTTTAGGTTCATTGTTTGACACTCTAAGAAGCTGGTGACAGTGCAATTTTCCTCTGGGGTGATTGCTATCCAGCTCTCTCAATGGTGGAGTAAAGTTTATTTTTGTCAAGTGTGTTGCAGTGTTCGTCAAGTAGATGATGAGTAGGTGTAGTGAGATACATCAGGTAGTTACAGTAACCATGTTCTCCAAATTAAACAACCAGGGCATGTAGTTTTGATATGACATCATAACAACACAAAATATTCCTGTGCAGGAAAATCCCAGAGCACAAGACTATTATGGTTCATCTTTGAGGTCCAACACTTGCTCTTTCCATCATGGCAGACTCCCTGGAACCAGCCATGTGTCATCATGCATAACCTGTTGCTTTGGAGGCTCCGGGCTAGGCATGTTTTGATTTTCTACAAAACTTAATTGTTCATTACCTCCACATTTAAAGAACTGGAATGAATCATGGTGAATTAGTTTTGGCTTGGATGCAGTCTTCTTTGGGTGTGCCTGCTCCTGGGGCCAAGTTGCCTGCATCTTTTAAGAATGGCGTGGTGGAATGTAATTCATTGCAAGTCAGGGGCTGAGTTTTGTCCTGCTTAGCTGCCAGCTTACTCTAGTTCTGGGTCAGCCCCCCGCTCCTCTCTGGATTTTGTTATTGTCACAGCAGTGACGAAGGGGCATATCCAGAATGTATTTGACTATGGACAACAGAACATTAACAGAATAACGATTCACTGTCCTCAGTTTACAAGAATTGTGAGGTGGATGTTAGAGCTGCCATGGCAACTCAATGATGCTACCAAGAAGAAAGCATCTCCCTCTCACTTTGCCAGTCCTCGACTTGGTCCTCACGCTAGTGGCTTCCTACTGCAAAGAAGGCTGCCTTACATCTCCACAGCATGTACATCTTTGGGAGAAGAAAGAAGTGAAGTGGCAGTTTGTATCAAGAATACAAAAGCAGGGGCTCGAGAGATGGCTCAGTGGTTAAGAGCTCTGGCTGCTCTTCCAGAGGACCCAGGTTCAATTCCCAGCACCCACATGGCAGCTCACAACTGTCTGTAACTCTAGTTCCAGGGGATCTGGCATTCTCACACAGATGTACATGTAGGCAAAACACCAATGCACATAAAAATAAATTATTAAAAAAAGGATACAAAAGCATCTTATTTTGTGGTCACCTCCAGTTACAAGAGAGTATGGAGGAAGCGAATCATTTGGGCCAGACTCATTGCTTCTCAGACCAGACCTGGGGTTTTATGAATGGGTCTCATTTACAGTATAGCAAACTGTCCCCAGATATAGTGACCAGAGACAATAGTTAATTCCTCATCACATCTGTGAGGGTGGCCATGCTCTACTGGATAGTTGATCTCCCCATGTGGTTTAGGTGAGGTCATTCATACACGCAGCTGTGAGCTCAGTAGAGCTGGAATGTGTGGGATGGTATTTCTTATTTACTTATTTGGTTTTCTGAGACAAGGTTTTACTGTGTAGCCCTGGCTGTCCTGGAACTCACTCTGTAGACCAGGCTGATCTTAAACTCACAGAGATCCACCTGCCTCTGCTTCCTGAGTGCTGGGATTAAAGGTGTGCATCTAGCTTATTTATTTATTTAAATTAATTAATCAACTAATTTGTGTATTTCTGCATATTTGTGTGTATGTGCACATGTATGTGGAGACCAGAAGTCAACCTGGAGTGTCATCCCTCAGGAGCTGTCCACCTTGTGTTTTTTTGAGTCAGGGTCTCACTTGCTGATTCGCCTAGGCTGACTGGTCTGTGAGCCCTAGATGTCTGCCTGTCTCCACCTGGCCCACAGTCAGGACAAATCTCTCTCACCTGCCAGTCCCACAGCCTTTCAAACCCAACCAAGTAAACACAGAGGCTTATTTTGCTTACAAACTGTATGGCCGTGGCAGGCTTCTTGCTAACTGTTCTTACAGCTTAAATTAACCCATTTCTATTAATCTATACCTTGCCACGTGGCTCGTGGCTTACCGGTATCTTCACATGCTGTTTCTCATCGTGGCAGCTGGCAGTGTCTCTCTGACTCAGACTTCTACTTCCCAGCTTTATTCTCCTCCTTGTCCCGCCTACACTTCCTGCCTAGCCAATGGCCAATCAGTGTTTTATTTATTAACTAATTAGCAACACATTTGCCATACAGAACTTCCCACAGCACTTCCCCCCCCCTTTTTTTTTTTTCAAAAAGGAAGGTTTTAACCTTAACAAAGTAAAATTACATACAATTTGGGAATTTGGGCGTAGCTTCTCTTACTACTTCCTGCTGGAGGGGGGCGCTGTATCTTGTGGGGATACAAAGAAAATTTTAGGATCATAGAAAAGTCCATGAGGGTGTATCGTCTGAGCCAGTTGCCTTCAAACCATTCTGGATGTTGGATCATCTGGGCCATGGTGTCATCGGAGACCTTTCAGGGGGTCTTGGCTGGTCAAACCTGATGTATCTTAATCTGGAACAAATCCATAGCCTCTGGCTTTCTGTGGGAACAAAAGCAGAGTCTCCTTTCCAAAGTAACATATCCTTATATTCAAATTTTGAAGTCAAGGTACCTTTAAAGTATACATTTTGACATAACTCAACAGCTTTTACAATCAAATGTTTTTCTGCAGTTAAAAGTCCCAAAGACAACACAATCCAGATTCTCTGTGTAATATCCATTTTTACGTGGCTTATTTTTTATACTACCTTTACTGTCTTTTTAAAGACTTTATTTTTTAAAACTATGTATTTGTTTCTATAACTCTATATATCATCTTTTTTGTCTCTTTCAAGCCTACGTATCTTTTACACACATTGCAAACTATTACATCTGAATCTGTCTTTTTTTTTTTTTTTTTTTTTTTTTTGGTTTTTCGAGACAGGGTTTCTCTGTGTAGCTTTGTGCCTTTCCTGGAACTCACTTGGTAGCCCAGGCTGGCCTCGAACTCACAGAGATCTGCCTGCCTCTGCCTCCCGAGTGCTGGGATTAAAGGCGTGCGCCACCACCGCCCGGCTGAATCTGTCTTATTGTGAATCTCTTGCTTTAAACTGCAGCAGCTGTGGCTGCTGGCTCCGCCCACCTCAGCTTCCCAACATGGCAGTGGTTTACCGCCAGCTCTGGGAGCTATCAGGGGTCTATGCTTTTATCCAAGCAGCAAGTAGCCCAGAAACCTCTTTTTTTTGTTTTGTACCTGCAAAGGCTAAATCCACCATGCAGCTTAATGTGCCACTTGCAGAGGCCTCATTCCCGCCAAACTGCAGGTCGAGCACGCACAACAGAAACCCACAAGTAGCTCAAACCGGCAGCTGCCGCTCATTTGAGAGAGACAATTAGGAAGCTGTTTTTAGCTCTGTTTTAGAATCTTTTTTTTCTCAGTTTTTAGGTGGAAACTCTTGCCCCACGTTGGGCGCCATTTGTAGGTAGAGTTTTCCTGCCTGGCCCACAGTCAGGACAAATCTCTCTCACCTGCCAGTCTCACAGCCTTTCAAACCCAACCAAGTAAACACAGAGGCTTATTTTGCTTACAAACTGTATGGCCGTGGCAGGCTTCTTGCTAACTGTTCTTACAGCTTAAATTAATCCATTTCTATAAATCTATACCTTGCCACGTGGCTCGTGGCTTACCGGTATCTTCACATGCTGTTTCTCATCGTGGCAGCTGGCAGTGTCTCTCTGACTCAGACTTCTACTTCCCAGCTTTATTCTCCTCCTTGTCCCGCCTACACTTCCTGCCTAGCCAATGGCCAATCAGTGTTTTATTTATTAACTAATTAGCAACACATTTGCCATACAGAACTTCCCACAGCATCCCACTGCTGGTGCCACCACACCCAGTCTTTGGCATGGACTGTGGGGATCAAATTCAGGAAAGCATGGCAAACATGGCGCCCTGCTGTGGGATGTTCTGTATGTCAAATGTGTTGCTGATTAGTCAATAATTAAAACACTGATTGGCCATTGGCTAGGCAGGAAGTGTAGGCGGGACAAGGAGGAGAATAAAGCTGGGAAATGGAAGTCTGAGGCAGAGAGACACTGCCAGCCGCCAAGATGAGAAACAGCATGTGAAGATGCCGGTAAGCCACGAGCCGTGTGGCAAGGTATAGATTTATAAAAATGGATTAATTTAAGCTGAAAGAACAGTTAGCAAGAAGCCTGCCATGGCCATACAGTTTGAAACCAATACAAGTCTCTGTGTTTACTTGGTCGGGTCTGACGGCTGTGGGACTGGCAGGTGAGAGAGATTTGCCCTGACTGTGGGCCAGGCAGGAAAACTCTACCTACAGCGCCCGAACCTTCTCTCTAGTCCCCGGGAATGCATTTCTCTATGTCCCCGTCTGTAGAGAATCTCATCACGCTGCACTCTACCTCAAGCTGCTTTGCAGCTCTGTGCCTGACTTCTGAGAGGGTTATTCCAAGAGGACAGGCTCCTGTGTGCACCATGTTTCTGCTTGCACCATGCTTGCTAGTGCCCCTCTGGTAAAAGTAAGTCACAGGGTGAAGTGTGGGAAGGGCCTTCGCCGGGGCACAAATCCCAGGAGATATAGTTGATTGGGGTCAAACACTGTATGTTTGTCACAGTGTGAAGGAAGGGAGGGTGAACATAAGGTCTGCCATTCGTTTGTTTGCTATGGTGGATTGGAGCTGAACAGTGTTTTCTTCATACTGCAAGCACCAAAGCCACTGTAGTTCATGGCCAGAGAAGTAGAATGAACGGGGAATATTGGCGTGTATTGCAAGTTAAAAATCTATATTTACATCCACTGAAAGATGTATTTTATGTTCCTGGCTTGAGCACATCTGAGTTTCGATGCTTTGATTCTATGGCAGAATTAAGTGGTGGATGTCCTGCTGACCCTCTTCCCTGTAAGGAGCTGTGTGATGGGGACACATCTTGTCCCCAGGGACACAAATGCTGCAGCACTGGGTGTGGCCACGCCTGCCGAGGAGACATTGAAGGAGGTACGTTGGTTGTTTGGGAGGAGAGTCACAAGTGCCCGCTGGGTGCCAGGTGAGTTTGGAGGAGCTTCCTGTGGACACCTGCCTGGGGGAGCCAGGTGTCATCTTTACCATCCCCAGGCCTCCAACCCAACGCAACCCTTTCTTCTAGGGTTAAAGGTCAATGTTGGCATGGAAAGAACTAGAGGAAGGAGGTGGTAACGAAGCTTTGGTCTGGGCTCTGCTTTGTGCCTGGGGTAAATAATCCCCTCTTTTGGGGTGTATTGCCTCTGTCCAGTAAAGAAGCTGCCCACTATCACTGGTTTTTCAGATCAATTTTTGTTTATTTTTGAGAAAGGGTCTCATTATGCAGCCCAAGCTGGTCTTAAACTCAGAGCCCTGGCTTAGTCCCTATGTGCTGGCCTTACAGGCCTGAGACACTTATTGATCTCAGATCTCTCTGTCTCTCTGTCTCTCTCCCTCTCTCTTTCAATTTTTTTTTTTTTTTTTTTTTTTTTTTTTTAGACAGGGTCTCATGCAACCCAGGCTGACTGAACTTCCTATGTAACTCATGATGATCTTGAATTTCTGATCTTCCTATCTCTATTACCCGCATGCAGGGGTCCCGGGTGTGTACCACCACACCCAGTTTATGCACTGCTGGGGACTGAACCCAGGCCTTCATGAATGTGGGGAAACACTCCATGCCGAGCTACATTCCCAGCCCATTAGTCTGTTTATATTCCTATGCAATGTCCAACTATTTGTCTGTACATACATGCGGCTTGTTAGGGAAGACAAATGAGGAATTACAGATGCTCCTTGATTGTAATGGGGTCTGACCTGATAAATTCACTGGAAATGGCAAATCTTGTAAGTTGAAAGCCCATTTAATACTCTTGTCCCAGTCAGGGTTACTATTGCTGTGATGAAACACCATGGCCAAAAACAAATTGGGGAGGAAGGGGCTTCTTTGGCTTACAGTTCCACATTGAAGTCTATCATGGAAGGAAGTCAGGGCAGGAACTCAAACAAGGCAGGATCCTGGAGGCAGGAGCTGATGCAGAGACCATGGAGGGGTGCCGCTCACTGGCTTGCTCCCCATGACTTGCTCAGCCTGCCTTCTTTTGTTTTGTTTTATTCTTTGAGGCAGGGTTTGTCTGTGTAACAGCCCTGCTGTCCTGGAACTCAATTTGGAGACCAGGCTGGCTTCCAACTCACAGAGATCTGCCTGCCTCTGCCTCCCGAGTGCATGCACCACCATGCCCAGCTCAGCCTGCTTTCTTATAGAACCCAGGACTGCCAGGCCAGGGGTGGCACCACCCGGAATGGGCTGGGCCTTCCCACATCAATCACTGATTAAGAAAAAGAGCTGGGCGGTGGTGGCGCACGCCTTTAATCCCAGCACTCGAGAGGCAGAGGCAGGAGGATCTCTGTGAGTTCGAGGCCAGCCTGGTCTACAAAGTGAGTTCCAGGAAAGGCGCAAAACTACAGAGAAACCCTGTCTCGAAAAACCAAAAAAAAAAAAAAAAAAAAAAAAAAGAAAAAGAAAAAGGCCTACAGTTAGATCTTATGGAGGCATTTTCTCAATTAAGGTTCCCTCCCTTCAGATGACTCTAGACTTGTATCAAGTCGACATAAAACTAGCCAGCACAACTCTCAACCCACCAAAACCTTCTACGTTTGCAACACACCCAGCCCACTGTAGAGTGTCGGTTGTATGTGGTCCTATGGCTGACTGTGTGTTGTGGCTGCTGCTGCCCAACACCGAAAGCAAGTATCCTATTGCATATTGCTGATCTGGGAAAAGATAGACATTGAACATTAAAGGACCATTCTTCCTGAATCTGTACTGTTCTTGTACCATTGAGAAATGATACCATGACAGGTACACAGACATATACACACCACATACATACATACACATTCACACACACAATACATACACCACTCACACACACACCACACACACACTTATGCACAACACATAACACACACACACCACACACACATACACTACACACACACACACTTACACCATAATATACCCCCCCCCCACTGATGCACAGAGCAGGGGCATCAATCTTCTTCTAGAGTACCAGACCAGCAGTGACATAGAACTTAATCATAGGGAGAAGGCAGGACCTTGTCTCTCTGCATTCTACCAACCTCTCAGGAACTGGCTTTGGGAGTTTAATACCTCCTGTGTCTGAGGTGTCTCAGCCCTCCAGCTTCCCTGCCTCCAGCCCCATCTAGTTGGGAGTCAGGGTTGATTCACCTGGGACCTGAGTCTAGAAGCTGTAGATGGGAATTTGGGAAGAGAAGAGCCAGCTCCCTGTGTTTTTCCCTGTGCTGGTGTTCTCCCCAGGGCGGGATGGTCATTGTCCCAGAATTCTGGTGGGCCTGTGTATTGTCAACTGCATGGTGGATGAGAACTGTCAACCTGGGGAAAAGTGCTGCAAGTCAGGCTGTGGCCGCTTCTGCATCCCCCGACTCCAGCTACTCCACCTGCCCAAAGACTCCAACTTCACCAATCGGTCTACATCTGAATCAGGTGAGTATTGCCCATGATGATCTTTGACCAGCTATGAAGTTAACAGGTTTCACTGCTGTTAACACTCCCCTGTTAGCTCCTGGGAAGGCAGCTTCTGAAGGCCATGAAGAATCTAGTTAGAAGGATCATGAGTCATAGACTACACCCCTCATATGGACACTGTGGGATTACCGTGTTTACAGTGGGTGTGGCTCTCTGGTGAGGTCTTTCTGGGAGAGATAGGATTTGATCCAGGTTCTAAAGCCTAAGCAGATGTGACATGTTCCAGAGGGTGGGAATACATGTGATGTGTTGGGGCCATGAGGGCTGGGGGCAGGGCAAAAAAACAGAGCAGATACCATTCCTATTTGATAACAGGAGATATGAGACCAACTTCTAAATGATAAGAGTCTTTAGAACCAGTTAGGAAGTCCATCGAGGCTCCCCAGGGAGGAAGGGAAACAGCTGGGCAGCTGGAGCTGGAAAGGTACAGCTGTGACCTGAAATGTCTTCTCCTTGCAGAATTTCAAGCACCCTAGCTGTTCTGACTTGTCTGGAATCTTCTGGAAGCCAAGAAGGGGTGATGTCCTGGGGCTTGTGACACTCCCACAGATATCAGGCCTTTTCCTCTTTGCTTCTGCTGCCTGGAGCACACAGAACAGCCCTGGGGACAGGTGCTTCTCTTTCCCAATAAAAGACTGGCATGGACCCTCTTGTCTGTACTGTGTAGGGGCTCAGATGAGGTGGGGGAGCGAGTGGGTCTACCTGTGCATGGCTTTGGCATTGTGAAACCTATGGACTAAAGAAAGAGAGCAGATTTTTTAAAATGTAACATGTATAAAGAAGAGTATTAATGTCCCACGTGAAATGACTAGTTAAATAAAATAGCCATTGCATGGAGTTCTAGTAAAAGAGTTATGTGTAACACCTTAGGCAGTCTTGTATGAGTTTAGTCATCTTTGAAATAATACATCCTGACTTGTTTGATGCATAACAAGGTAAAACAAATCTTTTCTTTTAAATGTTAAAAAAAATAATTGGTGTGTGTGTGTGTGTGTGTGTGTAAGTTGCATGTGCACAGTGAAGGTGTAGCTTTCTTTCAGACAACAACTTTGAGGAGTTGGTTCTCTCTTTCCATTGTGCGGGTCCTGGGGATTGAACTCAGATCATCAGGCTTGTGTTCATTCCTGTCTCTTACCAACGCCACCACACATTTAAAAAAGGCTTTCTGCTGGTTAAGGCGCTGCTGCTGGCAGAGGGAGAGTGCTGATCGGAAGCATGGTTACCTTTTTAGAGCTTTATTGCGGGGGGGGGGGGGGGGGGGGAGGAGAGAGGAGAGATGGAAGGAAGTAGCAGAAAGGAAAAAGAGGGATGCACAGAGGGCCCACCTGCTTTTTAGGCTGGGGCGCCATTGCAGGCTGATGACGTATTAAGGACAGAATCCTTTCACTTTCTACTTTCCTCTTTTGTTTTCTGTCAGATATTAAAAATGTCATTGTCTTACACCAAGTGTGTTACAAGATCGTTTTTGTTTGCTTTTTTGCTTTTTGATTTTCATGTATCCCAGGTTAGCCTCAAATTTCTATATAGCTGAAGCTGGCCTCGAACTCCTGACCTTCTTACGTACACTTCCCTAGTGCTGGGATCGCAGGTGTGCACCACCATCTCCTGCTTTGGTTTTCATCCGTTATACTCAAGGTGTGTTTCCACTGTGAGTCTTAGCTGAGGGTGATCTTTGGCATGGTTTCTGATTCTTCCACCTTGTGGACCAAACAAATCAGCATGTTATCTCCGAGAGCTGAGATTTCCTGGAGATTGTAGTGTCACACATAACTCTTTACTAGACCTCCATGGGATGGCTAATTTATTTGACCAGTCATCTCATGTTGGACATTGATACTCTTTTACACACACACACACACACACACACACACACACACACACACACACACACACACACTCACACACACACTGTAATAAATATAAAAATGTTAAGTGAAATTCTGGATATTACTGTGTTGAGAACACTTATTTTTCTGAGTAGACATGTGTTGGAGTTGGCTGATCTGATGTCAAGTGGCTACATTGTGCCATGAACTTTATGGTTGCTGGCCCAGGACAGTCATGACTCTGGGAAGGGCTAATATTTGATGGACTACTGACCAGTTGCTAAGATCCCTCATCCACTGTTTTGCTTATCATTTTATTGTTTTCTTAAACATCAGAATAAAAAAGCATGCGTTTTTCTTTTGAGATGGAGTGTTGCTCGTGTTGCTCAGATTGGCCTTGAACTCACGGGCTCAAGTGATTCTCTTGTCTCCTGAGTCCCCGAGTGCATGGCACCTTGTCTAGCTTTATGCACATAATTAAAAATCAGTATGAATAGAGACTTCAGTGAGAGTAGTTGAGGCTGTCTGCCTTGGGAACCTTCAGATGCTGTAAGGTCCTTTTCTTTCAGATGAGAAGGGAACCGGAGGGTGGGGCCTGTGAGCCAGATCTCTTCTTTCACCAATGAGGGCTAACCTGTGCAGCCTGAGTTCATAGCAAGGGAAAAAGGGAAGGAGAGAGAGAGAGAGAGAGAGAGAGAGAGAGAGAGAGAGAGAGAGAGAGACAGAGACAGAGACAGAGAAAGACAGAGAGACAGAGAGAGAGACAGAGAGAGAGAGACAGAGAGAGAGAGAGAGACAAACAGAGACAGACAGACAGACACACATAGACAGGCAGACAGACAGGCAGACAGACAAACGCACACAGAAAGAGAAAGGGAGAGAGACAGACATATACACACACAGAGGGAGAGAGATAGAGAGGGAGGGAGGGAGGGAGAGACAGACAGACAGACACAGAGAGACACCCACCCACCCACACAGAGGGAGAGGAAGAGAGAGGGAACACGAGAGAACTTGAATTTCACAGGTCTTTCTGAAACCTCTAGGCTGTTCTCTCTTTTGTTGTGTCGTAAATCGAAGAAGACTCGCACAGCTTTCCTTCCTCAGGGTTAGTTAAGTCCTTTCAGCCTGAATTCTGTGAAGCAGGTCCCTGTGAATCCTGATCCTACCAGCTGTCTGCCATCTTTGCACCCCAAATTAACCTTTGACCAGACTACAAAGCCACCCTCACTTGGCACCCTCAGATTCCTTGTAGTGGGCGTCTGACCCCGATGTCGGGGCTGGAAAAGACCCGCACTCTCTGCCTCTTTCCTTGACCATCTGAGTCCTCGGTACCCTTCCCCAGCAATACCAAGGGGCACCAGCACCTCTTGCTGCTGTTCAGAATCTCCTTCTTTTTCTCCCATGGGCGTGACATCAGTGGTAAGTGGGGGTGTAAGGTGATAAGGGTGGGAAGTTGCTCTTGAGTTGAGTCAAGATCTTTTGAGTCAAGGGAGTCTGTGTAGACAGACCAGCTTCACACAGATTGACAAACCCAGGGATGAGTAAGCCCCTAACACAGTGAAAGGATTTCTTTTTGGGCTCTCTGGTTTCTGAGCCACCAGGGGGCAGCAGAAATTTAGGTCATAGACCAGGAAAGGACAGGTTAGAAGCCTAGATAAAGGCAAACTCTGGTCTGAGTTTCTATATCCCTACTGAAACACCTAGTAAATCAGGGTAGCAGATCATGCCCTCTCTATTCATGATGTGACGTGTTTCTTCTGGTGGGCAATATTTATCTTGGGAACATTATCCATCATATGTTTCATTTCAGTGTTTCTTTTTCTTTTTCTTTTTTTTTAAAGTATTTTTTTAAAAAAATTTATGCCGGGTGGTGGTGGCGCACGCCTTTAGTCCCAGCACCTGGAAGGCAGAGTCAGGGGGATCTCTGTGAGTTTGAGGCCAGCCTGGTCTTCAGAGCGAGTCCCAGGACAGGCTCCAAAGCTACACAGAGAAACCCTGTCTCGAAAAAAGCAAAAAGACAAAAACAAAAAAGTATTTATTATGTATACCGTGCTCCATCTGCATGTGTGCCTGCAGGCCAGAAGAGGGTGCCAGATCTCATTACAGATGGTTGTGGGCCATCCTATGGTTGCTGGGAATTGAACTCAGGACCTCCAGAAGTGCTCTTAACTGCTGAGCTATCTCTCCAGCCCCCTTCAGTGTTTCTTATACAAGGCCACAGGGTCAAATTGTTGAGGTCAAGAGCAGGACAACCTTTTTTCTACGCGCGGAGGTGAGATGGGCACGGAGTGACTTGCAGGCATGCACGCTCCTGCAGGCTCTCTGGTTGGTGCTTTCTAGATCGGATGCTGGCAATTAGGAAGCCGGGATGCACATTCTGGGGTCTTCTTGTTAGTAACCATTTTCCCTCCTCTGTCTCCCTTTCTTCAGTTTCTCTGTAACTTCAAAGCTCTTTATGTGTCTGGGACTGTGAGTCTTTTTCTGTTTTCTCCTCTTTAGTTTTAGGAAAAGGGCACATGATCATTGCTGGGATATTCAGAACAATGTACAGGAGATCTTTTCAGCCGCAGACATCTGTTGCTAACATGCTAGTGAATGTCCCTCTAGACTTCATTTATGGGTGGTGATTAGTTCATTTGTCATTGCTGTAATGACATACCCCAAGGCAGGCTACTTTATGGGAAAAAGAATTTTTTTTTTTTTTTTTTGGTTTTTCGAGACAGGGTTTCTCTGTGTAGCTTTGTGCCTTTCCTGGAACTCACTCGGTAGCCCAGGCTGGCCTCGAACTCACAGAGATCCGCCTGGCTCTGCCTCCCAAGTGCTGGGACTAAAGGCGTGCGCCACCACCGCCCGGCCGGAAAAAAGAATTTTACTTTGGCTCTTGGTTCTGGAGGTTTGAGATTAAGGGGCCACATCTAATGACGGTTGTGCTGAGATGTTACAGAACATCAAAGGGTAAGAGAAAAGAGTGCATATCTGTCTATATGTCTGACTATTCTCTCTTCTCCTCCTCCTCCTCCTCCTCCTCCTCCTCCTCCTCCTCCTCGTCCTCCTCCTCTTCCTCCTCCTTTTCGTTTTTTTGAGACAGGGTCTCTCTGTGTAGCCCCAGCTGTCCTGGAACTCACTTTGTAGACCAGGCTGCCCTTGAATTCAGAGATCTGCCCTCTCTGCCTACCGAGAGCTGGGACTAAAGGCATGCACCACCTCATCTGGCTTATTTCCTTTTCTTACAAGTGCACTAGAATTCAATGAAGGGAATGCTACTCTTATCCAAATCCTATTCACCTTCCAAAGGCTCACCTCTAAGCACTATAGTCAAATGAAGTTTGAAGTTTGTCTTAATGTGGGCAAAACCTCAGCATGAGAAGTCTCTGGGGCCATGCAAACTACAGTCAAAGCACAAGAGTACACCTCCGAATTCGGCTTGTGTAGCAATCACAGGAGGCCGTTCCTGGTGTTCTCTCATAGACACTTGTCATTTGACAGTGTGCCATAGCTAGACCTGTGTTTTCATTGTAAAGGGATTTTTATTTCTTTAAACATTTCACGGCTTCTGTTTAACAAGATCCTGTAATTCTGTAGCTACCGCTTGTCCTGTGTCTTAGTTACTTTTCTATTGCTATGAAGAGGCACCATGACCAAATACTTACAAAAGAAAGCATTTAATTTGAGGGCTCATGGTTCCAGAAGGTTAGAGTTCATGACCACCACGGTAGGGAGCATGGCAGTAGGCAGCACACATGGCACTGGAGCAGTAGCTGAGACCTTATATCTGATCCACAAGCACTGGGCAGAAGACAGAGCTAAAGGGCTGGC